AAAAAAAAGAACCAAACAGAAAAAATACAAAGCAAAATAAATAAAAAAAAAATTAATAAAATCTTAAGAGAAGGAATAAAAAATCGAAGACAAACGGATTGAAAAAGTATATAGACAAAACAAAAAATTGTTAACGAAGGCAAAAGACAAACATAAAAGAAGAATCGTGAGGTGGAAAAGAATATTAGCTTAAATCAATTTGGAATCAGATGAATAAAAAATGACACAATTATACTTAAACAAAGTGAAATAACAATTATTATTTTCAAAGACACACACATATATATGTATATATCAGTCAGTTATGTGGCATGCATGATAAACGTTTAGGTGATCATTTATCTTTCGATACATGACTGACGAGGAAGATTTTTTCCGCAGTAGTTTATCATTTCTTTCTGCAGTAGACCAGTTGCTATCCAAGGTTTGTCCTGCTATTTATCCATAGCGGGGGGGGGAGAAGAAGAAGAAGAGGACTCATACCTTTCTTAGCGGTATTAGCATGTAAATGAATGTAATGGATTCGACTGGAAATCGAACGCGGCTCTCCTATTCCTCAATCCAAGTAGCTATCCATTACTCCACCGTGAACGAATACAGAATCCTTAAAAATCCCTCAGGTCAGTTTATAATTTATTTCGTGGCCCTTACGTTTATTTCTTCAGACCAGTTTTTCGTTAATCATTATTATATTGCGGTTCTTACATTGATCTCTTTGGATTTATATCTTCCTTGGAAATATCCCTACCTAATCATCAAGTGATATTTTTTATATATATATATATATATATATATATATATATATATATATATATATATATATATATTAAGAAAAAATTTTGGGAAAATGTATGACAAAGTGGAAAAAGTTTTTTTATGACTTCATCCAACTAAATTTGTTATGTCAGTACGACTAAATATGCCTACGAACGATTGATGCTGGGAATTTTAATTTTTAATAAAATGAAAAAAAAAAAGAATCTGAATGAAATTGACTAGATAAAAACTAAATAAATTGAAAAATTCCCAGCATCCCTCGTTCGTGCGCATGTATAGTGGCACCAATATAAGAAATTTAGTCCGTTGAAGTCCTAAAGGATGAAACGCGTCACAAGAATACTTTTTACAATTTGTCATAGATTTTTCCCCCATATATACAGAGAGCGAGGGATAAATTGTATAATTTACGCAAAACGGAAAATAACACTGATATCTCATTTTAATAGATATATTTACCAAAACTGCACAAAAATATCTTGAAATATCAAAGATTAAATTTATTCAATAAAATCGCCAGTTTCCAAATTTCTGCTGGAGTGAATTGCATCATGGTGTTCTTTTTATCACAGATGATACATAACTGCCTCTACTATACTGTGCGAACACACACACACACACACACACACACACACACACACACACACACACACACACACAAAACTTTATATATATATATATATATATATATATATATATATATATATATATTAATTCAATAACCAGGTAGGCAATGACTGGCTACTACTTTCATGTGTTTGCATACAATCTTCAGGTAGCCAGTAACTTGATTACCTTACATACCACCGAACGAGTACAATTTGACAAGCAAACCAAACTTGCACATTAGGAAGAGTAGATCATCCAGCCAAGATCTAAAATGGCGACAAAAAAAATAAACCTGGAAAGGCTTGCCAGTATAGAAAAAAAGCGCCCAATCACAAGAGAAACTGGTGTCATGGTACAGGAGCTGAAGCATTAAGCCAAAAAATTGCTCAACAGGACCAGGCAACCAAATTCATGCTAGAGCATATATAATTCCAAGGTTTGAATATGCAGCTCTCAAGAAAGTAGCCATTTTAGATTTTGTTGGCTAATTTCGGCAAAGTCGTGTCTGTTCAATTTTTATAGATATTTTCAAATTTCCGATTTAGTTGTCATATATAAACGATAAAACTTATCAAAAGTTCCTTTTTTATTTTATTTTTTGTATTTTTCTCGGGTATATTCGTTTTCTAAGATTTCTTTTTTTTCGTCTGTTATATATATATATATATATATATATATATATTTGGTTTGACTGATGTGAGTTTTGGCCCTGGATTTCACGGTTTTTGCGATTGTCAGAGTTTGTCTGACGATCGCAGAGAGCGTGAAACCCGGATCACAAACTCACATCAGTCAAACCAAATATGTTAACTCATATCACTGATATTCAGTGCTTTCCAATAAGTACGCATATATAAATTTATAAAAAAAATATATATAAAATTGCATACACATATATATATATATATATATATATATATATATATATATATATATATATATAAGCAATAGGATAGCGTTCAGCATCCAGCGCCGACTGTCTGTTTCATGCTTAAACGCCACCTTCAGATCTGAAGATTGCATTTGAGCATGAAAGAGTCTGTCGCCGCTAGGTGTTGACCACAATATCCACTTTAATGTTTAAATACGCTCTGTTTCTGATATTGAGTACTTTAATTCATAAATACAGCATACTATACTATACTATATTTTTATCTCATATATATATATATATATATATATATATACAGTGTATCACAAAAGTGAGTACACCCCTCACATTTCTTCAAATATTTAAGTATATCTCTTTATGGGACAACACTGACAAAATGACTCTTTGACACAATTAAAAGTAGCCTGTCTGCAGCATATATAACAGAGTTAATTTATTTTTACCTCAAAATAACTCAAAATATAGCCATTAAAAGCTAAATCCCTGGCAACAAAAGTGAGTACACCCCTTAGGAAAAGTTGTCAATATTAACATACAACATGTCAACTGTCAATATTTTGTGTGGCCACCATCATTATCCAAAACTGCCTTTACTCTCCTGGGCATGGAGTTTACCAGAGCTTCACAGGTAGTCACTGGAATGCTCTTCCACTCCTCAATGACGACGTCGCGGAGCTGGCGGATATTTGAGACTCTGCACACCTCCACCTTCTGCTTGAGGATGGCCCAAAGATGTTCTATTGGGTTCAAGTCTGGAGACATGCTTGGCCAGTCCATCATCTTTACCCTCAGTCTCTTCAGTAAAGCAGTGGTTGTCTTGGATGTGTTTTGGGGTCATTGTCATGCTGGAACACTGCTCTGCGACCCAGTTTCTGGGGGGAGGGGATCATGCTCTGCTGCAGTATTTCACAGTACATGTTGGAGTTCATGTTTCCTTCAATGAAATGTAACTCTCCAATACCTGCAGCACTCATGCAGCCCCAGACCATGACATTCCCACCACCATGCTTGACTGTAGGCATGACACACTTATCTTTGTACTCCTCACCTGGTCGCCGCCACACATGCTTAAGGCCATCAGAACCAAACAAATTAAATTTCGTCTCATCAGACCATAGGACATGGTTCCAGTAATCTATGGGCTTTGTTGACATGTCTTCATCAAACTGTTTGTGGGCTTTCTTGTGTATTGCCTTCAGAAGAGGCTTCCTCCTGGGGTGACAGCCATGCACACCAATTTGATGTAATGTGCGGCGTATGGTCTGAACACTAACAGGCTGAATCCCAATCTCTTTAATCTCTGCAGCAATGCTAACAGCACTACTACGCCGATCTTTCAAAGAAAGCATTTGGATGTGACGCTCAGCACGTGCGCTCAGCTTCTTTGGACGATCTACCCGAGGCCTGTTCTGAGTGGACCCTGCTCTTTTAAAATGCTGGATGATCTTAGCCACTGTGCTGCAGCTCAGTTTCAGGGTGTTGGCAATCTTCTTGTAGCCTTGGACATCTTTATGTAGTGCAACAATACGTTTTTTAAGATCTGCACTACAAATTTGAATAGACCTGCTCCCCATGAACACATGGGCATAGTTACACTAATGAGTCACATGACATTTTGGAGGGAAAATGAAAAGCAGTAAATTTAGACATTTAGGGGTGTAGTTTCTTAGGGGTGTACTCATTTTTTAGGGGTGTAGTTTGTTAGGTGTCTACTCACTTTTGTTGCCAGAGATTTAGCTTGTAATGGCTATATTTTGAGTTATTTTGAGGTAAAAATAAATTAACTTTGTTATATATGCTGCAGACAGGCTACTTTTCATTGTGTCAAAGTGTCATTTTGTCAGTGTTGTCCCATGAAGAGATATACTTAAATATTTGAAGAAATGTGAGGGGTGTACTCACTTTTGTGTTACATTGTATATATATATCAAGTATATGATTATATATATATATATATATATATATATATATATATATACTTGTATTTTGATTGGTCATTTCAGCTCATGTGACATCGAGGAGTGGTTAATTAATTTGAACCTTTTAAAACCTTTATTTTACAATCTACATTCAACATCATCACTTGATAAGACACCAGAAGTGTTGAAACAAAATGGCTTTTTTTGTAGTGATTTTATAACATATTTTTGTTATAATTTTTAAATAAATAATTATATATATATATATATATATATATATATATGTGTGTGTGTGTGTGTGTGTGTGTATGTATGTGTATATGAGATAAAAATAGAGTTTAAAAATTAAAAAAAATCATTTATTGAAAATAATCGAAATTTGAATATATGGATTGTCGGTTCATTTAAAAAATAGATACACACGCAAATACGCACACATACATACTATATAAATATATATAACGTCATCCACAGACAGACTGTTTCGCTGATCATCAGCGTGGCTAGACATTCAGTTGCCTCTAGCCAGGATCGAAACCCGACTGAATTTGCGTCAGTCGGAGATTCAAACGATTAAGCCATCGGCGTACGGTATGGGATAGGGTGGATTTTAGCGTATTTATTTTTAGAAACACGCCTAGTGACGGACAGTGACTCAATTCGCATTTGCGAAGAGTCTCGCTATATAGCTATAATAGTCACCAACCCACACCTCCTCCCCAGAGAGCTCAACTGAAATTAATATATATATATATATATATATATATATATATATATATATATATATATATATATATTTATATATGTGTGTCTGTGTGTCATCTCTTTCTGTCTCTGTATCTTCATCTTTTATCTATCTATCTATCTATCTATCTATCTATCTATCTATCTATCTATCTATCTATCTATCTATCTATCTTTGTAGTTGTATTCATATCCGTCCATGTAATTATGTTCATATCTATCTATCTACCTATCTATTAAATAAATATTGCTGAGAGTAAGACGCGCGCGTGCACACACACACACACACACACACACACACACACACACACACACACACACACGCCCGCATGCGCGCATATATAAAAGTGTAAATAGAAAATTGCTGGCATGTCGCGATTATGGCTATTCCGATCTTTCTATCCTCTATAGCTATTAGTAAGTTTTGCTTTTTCGCCATCCCTCCCAGTCCCTGTTCTAGATATCCAATTACACAAGCTCGTTAGTCAGATTAGTAACTCCTCCCCCCAGTCCCTGTTTTTGTTATTTTTCTATTTCTAGTAAGACTTCTTTATCATCGCTCTTTACAACATCTTGTTCGTTGTCGTTCTTAGCAGTGTCTCTTTTTTACTTTTTTTTTTGTAATTCCTGTCCTGCCATCGATTTACACAAACCCGTTAAGTAGGTTACTCGCTGTTTCACTCTATTCCTCTTGCCTCCAGTATGCTCTGTGAGCGTCAAATTCTCCAAGCCTACTTTCATCATTATGAGTCTTAGACATTTCTACCATCTCTTTCAGTTTCTAAATACGAGCGCCATTTTCGCTTCATTTGTCTGTAACTCTTCCTCATTATTCACATGTTCAGTCCATGGTATTCTCAATATTCTAATTTAGAACAGAATTTCTCCCAAAATCTCCAAGAAAAAAAGCAGACACATATTGCTTACATTTAACCGTGGCCATTCACTCTACAGACAGCATGAAAACAGTTCCACATTACCTAAATATGTATGGGTAAGGAAGGACAAAACCATTAAGTCATCTGTGGCTTAGTGGACAATTATAAAAGCAACAGAGGCCTTCTGAACCCAAGATCAGGGCTTGTTAGGCATATCAAAAGTACGGTGTTGAGCCATTTACACCACTGAAAGAAAAAATAAATATATATATATGTGGGAATTTTATTTTATTCATTGAATATGTTCGCGTGAGTTTGTCTACCTGTGAGTCAGGTGCCTCGGACCATTCTTCTTGCGAAGTATCGTAGCCGCATCCCGCGTGTATAAATAGGCGCGAACTATGTAACTGACCTATTTTAAGTGCCGGCTGATCGGTCTATTACCGAATACGTGCTTGGCATCTATTTATAGGAAATAAAAACGAAATATTTACTCTCTCTCTCTCTATCTCTCTCTCTCTCTCTCTCTATATATATATATATATATATATATATATATATATATATATATATATATATATATGCGTGTGTCTGTGTGTATGTTTTGTGCGTGTTTGTGAGTGTCTCTCTCTCACACACACACACACACACACACACACACACACACACATATATATATATATATATATATTACTAGCCGGATTCACCCGCTCGCTATCGCTTTGCAAAGTCAGATTTATTCACTTCTTGAAATCTTTGAAACGAATATTTTAAATGAATGTTTCATTCATAAATTGGTTTGTTATCGTTAAGAAAAGTTTTACAAATAGATGCCAACTTGTTGAAGGCCAATTAAAATGCAAACTTCAAACACTTTTCTGCACTATATAAGACGATATTCATAAACAGAACAATTTTTTATTTGAAAATCAAAACAATCCTTGGGTAAAAGAACACTAATGAAGGACAGTTAATTAAAGAAATATACTTTTTTAAAAATCAATATGCAAATTAGTTAAACCTGAAGAGTGATATTACCTAGAAGTAGATAATATATAACACAAATATTGCGCTTTTAGCGTTTAAATTGCTATAAAGTCGAGTTGGGTCTTTTTAACACCCGAATTCGTTGGATAATTGTGCTCCAATTTTGCGCTTATCCATATGGATTCCATAATATACGTTTTACTTAAATACTTATTATGTTTCTCTAACTCTTCAAATGTTGAATCTATAACTAATTCTAATTTATATTTTCACATCTTTACACTGTATTAATTTTATCTTATAAATTATCCCCTGTTCTGTCACTCATGAAATACAAATAATTGTTTGTACGAAAATAAGGACCTACGTACATCAAATCGTCTTTAAATTAAGTGGCAGCAGAAGAAGTATCATTGAACTTTTAAAAGGTAAGCTTAAAGATTAATTCAATACTTAAATGCAGTGATCTATTTTGAGTTCTTCTGTAGTTTATTGATGCCTATCCTATCTACTCCTCCCTAGCTATTGTGAAACCAAGAGTCCTCCACAGGAGCTAGCTTAAATACTCCCCGATAGGGCGGCTTTTAAGATAGTTTATAATAATTTATAACAAAAGGTGCGCTGCAATTTTAGATACAAAAGGTAATAAGAGTTACTCCACTTGAACCATGAAAGTAACGATAATATCTAGTATAATATATTAATATATATTTTTAACCTCTCATAATTTGCAACCCTGAATCTGAGCTCAACGAAAATCGTTCCCTGCGCTTAACTTTTCTAGGGCTTTTGAATGAGTTATGAATGATTGAAATCGGACCAGTGGGAGCGGAGGAGTTGCTTGGACACACACACGCACAAAACACACACACACTGTACTTTATATATAAGATGAAATAAATTAAGTCCGACAATAATATATTTTCTGTTTATACGTTATTTTTAATAGATACATTTTATTTAAGTATATGCTCTGTTTTTTAAGTAAAGGACAGTGGTTCGATTCCTGTCGGAGAACGCATAATTTCTACGAAATTTCTCGAACATTCAGGTCGGTAAATGTAATCAATGCTGTTTATTTAAATTGTATCTATTCAAAGGAACGGTCGAGTAATGGACAGCGGCTCGGATTGAACCGAGTTCGAATTCCAGTCGGATCCATAACATTCCCTTACGTGCTGATACCCATTGAAAGGTATGAATTCTCTTATTCTCCCCCACCCCAACTATGGGTAAATAGCAGGGCAGACTTGGGTGGCAACCGGACTAGGAGAAGGAAAAACTCTGAATTCAAAACCGTTTTCGTCAGGCTACCTTGCGCAAGAAACACCACTTTTACTGTGACTTCAGTACACATGGTGCCCTTACGACCTTACGGGTCACGGGATGAAAAAAAACTCTATTAAAAATAATGTATAAACAGAAAACATATTATATATATATATATATATATATATATATATATATATATGCGTGTATGGATTTTTTTAATTTATTAATGAGACAGATTTTTACCACTTCAAACGTTATTTTTAGTGGATAGCCACATTTGATTAGATGCTATATTTATTTTAAATAATATAATAATTTACACTATTTACATTATTCGGACTATTGTCCTCATCTTTGTCGCCATATTTATTCCAACGTTTCGGCCTTTCAGTATCTGTCTATATTTCTGAGATGAGGTATTATGTACACTATTTACATTATTCCGACTATTGTCCTCATCTTTGTCGCCATATTTATTACAACGTCTGAAGGACACATGGCACAGTGGATAAAAACTTTAGTTAGATCCAGTGACAGGACCCAAAGAGTGTGAGTTCAATACTTGGTTAAGGCGGTGGAGACATTGGAGAGGGGAATTAACAAGAGATATAACTGATAACTTGGAGAGGGGAGTTAACAGACGATTACTGATAACTGACATCCAATAGACATGGCACGTGGAACTAGAACAGTCTACCCCAGTGAGCGAAATAAAGGGTTCAGTTCGAAATTCCAACCACCTGAAGAAGGCCGGAGCGTACAATTTGTAATAAATATGGCGACAAAAATGAGGACAATAGTCCGAATAATTTAAATAGTGTACATAATACCTCATCTCAGAAATATAGATAGATACGGAATATAATTATTTTCGCTATAAGCAATACCAACTTGGATATATAATAAGTTTTCTAGTATATTCAGGAGATGAAAATAAATATACGTTTTAAAATAAATAGAACGTCCACTAATATGCATACTCACTGAAACTAACGCTTAAAGTAACACACACGCACACATCTATATATATATATATATATATATATATATATATATATATATATATATATATATTATTTAATCATTTGAATGAATTATATTTTTCCATTTGAGACAGCGAAGATAAAAATACGTATAGCCGATAGCCGAAGAACATATTTCCAAAGTGACTTAGTTCTTGGCGAGAAGCCTTTATCTTTGAATTATAGTCGACATGCTTAGTTCGTAAAACCAATGCCATTAAATCAGTTACACACCGGTAGATTAATAAATCTGGATTTGAACTAAAGTTGACTCAGTTCAACCAATCTAATGACATCTTGCGCACACCCCAAATTATTCACATTAGCATAGCCATCTTTGAGTTATGTGCCAATTTTCTGAAATGTAAACCATCAAGAGACAAACCAAGAAATTGGCTCGGAATTAAACACGATAAAATCAAGCAAGTACAGATGTGGTGATTGGGCTTTTAAAATTGCATTTAAAAAATAAAGATATCGTATTTTGTTATTCATTTTTTATGTGGCCTTTTTTCTATTTTTACAAATAAGCGATTGCTTTGTTGATGACTAAATTGACTAATCAAATATTATTATTTTCTGGCCTTAATGTGGTAATCTCCCAAGTATTTCGATCATAGCTTAAGCGTAAATTGAATTCTTCAATATAAAATGGTAACATAGCAAGTGTGACATTCTAAAATAATTTTTTTGACAATTTGTCTACTCGACAAATTGAAATATTTATTTTTAGGTTTTGTTTCTAAAACCAATAGAATAATAATAATAATAATAATAATAATAATAATAATAAAAATAAAAAAATATTTGTGTAATAATCCATTAATGTATTTATTTAAAGAAAGATAAAAAAGCAAATATTTTATCATAAAAGTCGTGACTACTTGATAATTGCGACACAGTACATCTATCTATCTATCTATCTATCTATCTATCTATCTATCTATCTATCTATCTCAGACTGTTCATATCTATCTATCTATATATCTATCTATTTATCTATCTATCTCAGATTATCCATATCTATCTCTCGCTTTATGTATATCAGACTGTTCATATCTATCTATCTATCTATCTATCTATCTATCTATCTATCTATCTATCTATCTATCTATCTCAGACTGTATCATCTATCTATCTATCTATCTATCTATCTATCTATCTATCTATCTATCTATCTCAGACTATCCATATCTATCTCTCGCTTTATGTATATCAGACTGTTCATATCTATCTATCTATCTATCTATCTATCCATCTATCTATCTCAGACTGTTCATATCATCTATCTATCTATCTATCTATCTATCTATCTATCTCAGACTATCCATATCTATCCATATCGCTTTATGTATATCAGACTGTTCATATCTATCCATCTATCTATCTATCTATCTATCTATCTATCTATCTATCTCAGACTGTTCATATTCATCTATCTATCTATCTATCTATCTATCTATCTATCTATCTATCTCAGATTATCCATATCTATCTCTCGCTTTATGTATATCAGACTGTTCATATTCATCTATCTATCTATCTATCTATCTATCTATCTATCTATCTATCTATCTATCTCAGACTGTTCATATCATCTATCTATCTATCTATCTATCTATCTATCTATCTATCTATCTATCTCAGATTATCCATATCTATCTCTCGCTTTATGTATATCAGACTGTTCATATCTATCTATCTATCTATCTATCTATCTATCTATCTATCTATCTATCTCAGACTGTTCATATCTATCTATCTATCTATCTATCTATCTTTATCTATCTATCTCAGATTATCCATATCTATCTCTCGCTTTATGTATATCAGACTGTTCATATCTATCTATCTATCTATCTATCTCAGATCTATCTATCTATCTCATCTATTCTATATATCTATCTATCTATCTATCTATCTATCTATCTATCTATCTCAGACTATCCATATCTATCTCTCGCTTTATGTATATCAGACTGTTCATATCTATCTATCTATCTATCTATCTATCTATCTATCTATCTATCTCAGACTGTTCATATCTATCTATCTATCTATCTATCTATCTATCTATCTATCTATCTCAGACTATCCATATCTATCTCTCGCTTTATGTATATCAGACTGTTCATATCTATCTATCTATCTATCTATCTATCTATCTATCTCAGACTGTTCATATCTATCTATCTATCTATCTATCTATCTATCTATCTATCTATCTATCTCTCGCTTTATGTATATCAGACTGTTCATATCTATCTATCTATCTATCTATCTATCTATCTATCTATCTATCTATCTATCTATCTGCCTGGTGTCACATAAGGCCTCAACAGAATGCCTGCACTCTGCTCGAACAGTGTTTCGCCAGTCCATTCTTTCCCACGGTCCATCGCCATATCATTCTTGGCCTTTCCCTTGTTTTTTTCTTTTGAGGGCTCAGGTCAGTGACAAATGGCAGTTGTGTATCTAACGAACTTTCATTTTCTCTGTTAAACCTCCCTCGACACTAAGGGTTTCTACATAAGCACACTAGAACAGTTCCGTTATTTTACATGGGCTTGCTATCATCTAATCTTGATCATCACCTTTAAGCTGACGTTGTGAAACAGGTCAATGAGCTTGTCAGCTCCCTGACATTTTCAAAGTCTCGCATCCATATAATGGGACAAGGATAATCGTGGGTTAACAAAGCCCGATCTCTTATCTTTGTCGCATTCAAAGGCACCTCCATATCCTATTTAAAATATATAAAGACCAAAACGGTTAAACATACGAGGCCTGATAAAAAAAAAATTACCTGGACTGTTGCTATGGTAATGGATCTCAAATACGCTAAGTTATAATGTTCTCGTTCACTTCCTTCGTTTACAGTAATACTTAGAAGGAAATGTGCAGAATGTGATCGTCTCATGATACGACAAAGGCTCTATCACTGACCCTGGATTGTGTAGCAGTTTTGGGCCGTGAACAACATTTCTCGGGTCCAATAATCACCATATCCCCCAGGTCCCGGTTCTGGCAACTTTTCCCTCTTCAAAAATCAAATCTCACTTGAAAGGAACAAGATTTCAAGACGTCATCGAAATCTAAGAAAATGTGACAAGTCAGCTGCTCGATGTCCCAAAAATGAAGTTCCAGAAATGCTTCCATCAAAGGAAACGACTCTGGATAAGAAGGGAATTTTTTTTTATCTAAGTCCGCCTTCTCGTATCGTTAAATATTTGAGCTTAACAGCCTTAACAAAATATTACAATGACAATCATAAATATGGATTCTGGACGTTATTTTAAGAACTGGGTACAAATGAACTTGACAACTTTTCCCATTTCAGTGAAACAGCCGTTAAGCACTTCTTTCTTTCTTTTTCTCACTGAAACCAATTAGTGCGTGTCCCCTCTTTCCACGTAGCCAAACGGAATAGTACATTATTCATGAACCATTGACAGGGCGTAACGGTCGTGCGAACTAACGTAAAGAGAGAGAAGCACATTTATAACAGGATTGTTCCAAGTTCTATATTCTTTGCTTAATGTTATTTAAAAGTCCTCTCTTAATGTAATCACAAACATCAGCTTCTGTGCCTTTAAAAAAATATATATATATATAACACAAATAGGAATACTTCTCTAATGACGATTGTTTCCTTGACACCATTTAACGGCATTTTCAAATCTGTCAATGAGAGTTAGATACAGGTTTCATTGTTAAAAGAAATGGCACAGAGAATGGAGATTCGGCCCGTCCAACACCGGGCATCGTCGCTGGTGAACGATATCAGATACTTCTACATCTAGGATAGATATATCTCATTGAAATGTTAGATCTAGTTTCTGAACAGACATTTTGAATTCAAGCAATGTCTGTTTTCTTTATATATTCTTTTAAGCATTTATAAACAACGTCAACTGATATTAATGATGATGTTCAATTTTGCGTCAAATATCAGTGAATTTTTCCCGTGAATAAATTTACCTTAAAAACTTTTACTTGTAAATAGTTTTTTTTTCCAAAAATGAAACTTTTATTTGAACTACTCTTTCAAAAAGTCAGTTCGTATTAGATTGATAATTTTGTTATGACATTAATAACATTAATAATTTATAACATTAGTCGATTTTTTACAACATTAATTTTCATTATCAGTTTTAATTATGGGTAGACATTTATGAAAGATATGATATAGATGAATTTATATTAACTGACACGATTTTGAATCTACACAGATCCCAAGAATTGTTCTTACTTCAGATTCACATTGAGAAAGTGAACATTTAATTCAGTTCGGCGAAACACTTTCTGAAAACCAGCCAATAAAATTAAAATCCATCACCCTGCAACTGCACGACTAACATACCTAAATAGATATATAATTGAATAAATAAGTCTGTAAGATCGAAGAATTTATGTAATGATCGACTGATTTTGTACGGCATATCAACATTTTACAGATTTATATAGCAATGAAATGTCGCTGCCGACACTTGAGTTTGACCATAGATCACCAGTGAGCAAACACGGGCGATCCCATTATTGAATTAAGTAGACCATATGACCGTAGAGGATGCGCATAAGTAGGAAGTCGCGTGATGTCTAATTGATCGTTATTTCTATTCTATCCTCTATTATTATTCGGATCGCTATTTCTCGTCTATACTCTACACTATACAGGCCGCTATTCTCTACTTTATTCACTATACTATTTCTCTATTCAGATCACTATACGGATTAATATTCGCGCGAGAATTGTCGAGCAAGTATTATTAGTGGTAGTCGAAGGTGTCTGACACTAGTATTGTTCAACGGCGTTACTCGAGTTGTATCTGCGATTACAAAGTCTCTACTACAACGATCATTATGAAAGTGTCAAACGAGTGTTCGTTGACATCACAAAATAGACAACGAGTATTTGTTGACATTACGAAAGTGGCAATGTGTGTTCGTTGAGTTACAAAAGATTATTTAAAGACAGATAATTTTTTTTTTTTACATTGTGAGAAGTTTGGGGAGATAATGATTTATCGATGCAAGTTTCACTGCTTAACCCATAACTGGAGGAGAACAGGTGAATACATAGCTTTCCCAAAAGCATTTTGGGCGTAAGTGAATATAACAAACCGAATTAGAATTGGTATTATAGGCTTGTGAAAGTCTATACGCTGTCTTACACTATCAGCGAGTAACAGAATAGCCCCTTTGGGAACACGTTTGTATTTATAAAATAATCATTTCAGCAATGATCTTCCTGGCGCCATCGGTTTACGACTTGGTATCTATGATGATACAACTATTTAATCCTGGCTTTATGGTTTTGTCTGATAGATAAAATCAAATTTTCAGTTTCTGTCTATATTTCTGAGATGAGGTATTATGTACACTATTTACATTGTTCGGACTTTCATTCTCATCTTTTGGACACAATATGGGAACCAGTAATAAGGAGTGCCAGAGAAAAGCAATAATAACAACGAAAATTGCAATATGAGCTCTGGGGAAAAAAATGAAATGATAACAGCAAAAATTGCACTGGTAAAAATGTTTGCTGAAGACATTAGGTTTATAAGTCTCAGAAAGTCATACATAGATGTCCTCAAGGACACATGGCACAGTGGATGAAGGTGTTAGTTAGATCCAGGGACAGGACCTGGTTAAGGCAGTTAAGAGAATTAACAGGAGATAACTGATAACTGACATCCATTAGACATGGCACGTGAAAGGATTCAGTTCGACATTCCAGCTACCTGAAGAAGGCCGGAGAGTCCAACGGCCGAAACATTGTGATACATATGGCAACAAAGATGAGGACGGTAGTCTGAACAATGTAAATTTGGAGTTGATATCAAAAATAACTTTCTAAATCTTGTTGACTGGGATAGCAAATGGCTTGTTAATTTTAACGCCTCTAAAGCGAAACTGAAAATGATTTTTACTATGAAAATGCATTGGCTAATGATTTTTACTACGAAAATTCATTGGAAATATTTTTATCATGAAAATGGTTTGGAAGTGATTTTTACTATAAAAATGATTCGGAAATGATTTTTACTATAAAAATGCATTGGAAATGATTTTTGCGATGAAAATGCATTGGAAATGATTTTTATGATGAAAATGCATTGGAAATGATTTTTGCGATGAAAATGCATTGGAAATGATTTTTATGATGAAAATGCATTGGAAATGATTTTTACTATGAAAATGCATTGGCCAATGATTTTTACTATGAAAATGCATTGGAAATGATTTTTATGATGAAAATGCCTTGAAATGATTTTTTTTGAAACTATTGAAAATTCATTGGCCTTGGAAATGATTTTTTTTGAAAATTCATTAATGATTTTTACTATGAAAATGCATTGGAAATGATTTTTGCGATGGAAATGCATTGGAAATGATTTTTACTATAAAAATGCATTGGAAATGGTTTTTGCTATGAAATTTCACTGGAAATGATTTTTACTATGAAAACGCATTGGAAATGATTTTTGCTATGAAAATACATTGGAAATGATATTTGCTATGAAAACGCATTGGAAATGATTTTTGCTATGAAAATACATTGGAAATGATATTTACTCTGAAAATGCGTTGTTTTGTTAGCCTTCCATCAACATGGTTGATGTTAACCTCTGAGAGAGCAAATCACGTTTTCCACCTACATGAAGCCGAATGATTATATTGAAACAGTTGCTGAGTTTGCTGCTCGGAACATCGCTTCATTATGTCGTGCCAGATACGTTTTCTCGCCAGAATCTAAATTCCCCATTTATAAGACCACCTTCCGTCCGTGCAGCGAATATTGGTGTGTCTGATATGTATTTAGAGACTATTTACTAAAATCGAAAGAGGAATCTGCAACATTATCAGTCCTGACCTGGCATCTCGGCTCTCCAGTCACTTTTCAACCGCCGGAGCGTAGCTTCCCTTTCCTCATTCTATATGATAAACGCCAATGTTCGTGCGTCACATTGTTTCAGTTGAAGGGGGCACAACTCTAAATAGCTCATCTCCTTCTTCTATATAATAAATGCCAATGCTAGTATGTCACACATTTCCACTTTACTTCTAGAGACCTTAGCCAAACATATCATACCATTTTATAATCAGGCCGACTCTGTGAGCAAACAAAAAACATTCTGAATCGTATCAGGACCCGCAATCCTGAAATTTGGGATTCCTAAGTTTTCATTATTTTGATTGTTTTCGACGATTTTTACGTGATTTTTTGCGATGAAATTTTTTGTACGATAACAATTTTTATAACTTGGGAATAAATTTGGGGATAATCGAAATTAATTGCGAAATCAAACTAAAGTTACTCATGAAATAAAAATAATTGTTTGTACGGAAGGTAAGGACCTACGTACATCATCTTTTAAAAAAATTAAGTGGCGGCAGAATAGTTATCGTTGAACTTTTAAAAGGTAAGCTTAAAAATTAATTCAATACTTAAATGCAGCGATCAATTTTGAGTTCTTGTGTAGTTTATTCTTGCTTATCGCATCTACTCCTCCCTACCTATCGTGATGAAGGCCCAATCAAGAACATCCCACAAAAGCTAGCTTAAATATCACCCGATAAAACGGCTTTTATGATCGCCTATAAATATTTTCACGGTGATTGTTCTGGCGAGCTTTCCTCGTTGGTACCACGATTTCATGAACTTAAGCGCAATACTAGATTGGCAGCTAGGTCTCATAGCCTCTCTGCTGAAATTGAAAACTGTGATCTTGTTAGCTTGTAATTCTATGCTGATATTTCCTTCTCTCGCACTTCTTGCTTGTGGAAGTCTGTCTCGGCTTCACGGTTAATTAGAATCTTCAAAAATTTAAATGCAATGCCAAGCGTCATTTTCTGTTTTCTTAAATCCGGTTCTTATATAGTCCTCTTTGTTTCTTTCAGTCTGGATAGCACCCCCCTTACAATCTAATTTATTACTGGGTTTGGAGTGAAGTGAGGAATAAAAAAAATGTATTTTTGACATTTTCCTTTATCAAGTTTAGATAAATTCTTTTAAATTGTAGTCGTAGTTGGTAGCTAATATTATCTTTCTAGTTTTAACAAGGTTTTATTTTTTGTTTTTGTCGATTTTAAAACTTTCCTCTTCGCTTCATATCAGCCAGTTAAGTGGCATATGTGAGTCACGCTTGGGAGATCTTGTCACATTTGATTCATGACTGACTGGGCAGAAGATTGTCCCTGCAGTAGCTTGCCGTTTCTTTCTGCGGTACACACTTGGCCAACGAAGGCTATAGGACATGTCCTGCTATTCAAACCATAGTTCTGAGGGGAAAAAGAAGAGATGAATTCATTTCTTTGCAAAGGGTATTTCTGCGTAAATGAATGTAATGAACCCGACTGGAATTCGAACTCGGGTCACCAATTTCTCATTCAGAGCCGATATCCATTACACCACCAGCACATCCTTCAAGTTATATTCTTTCTTTTTATCTGCCGTGCCTATTCAGGGAGTAAGCGATCATGGCTCTCCACTTCCTCCTATCCTTTGCAGCAATTAATAAGTTTAGTCCCTCTGCTACTTCCCCCAGGCCATGTCATCCACTGGCTTAAGCCCGCCAGGTATGTCATGCGTTGCTTTCCCTTCTCTCTCTCTCTCTTTCTCCCTCTATTCGACCTGTGAGTATCAGATTCTCCAAGCCTTCCTTTCTCATTACGTGTCCCAGAAACTTCAGCTTCCTCTTTCTGATGTTAAGTATAAGCCTCCTCCTTTTTTGCATCCTCTCCAAAACCTCATCGTTGCTCACACTCTCGGTTCATGATATCCTTAGCATCCTTCTGTATAACAATACCTCCGTTGCCTTGAGTCTCTTTTTCATCTTTGAGGAGACCGTTCAAAAATCGCCGCTTTAAAGGAGGGGCGTAGCAGATGAATATTCTTTCCTTTGGTAGCATAGAAATCCTCTTGTCTCGTAATATTCTATCTGGCTTTTGAAATGCGTCTTTGCCATCCTAATACGCCTTCATATATTAATGCTAACCCAATACAAGCCCCAAGAGCCATTCAAGCTAGAAGATTACTCTCTGGTTCTGTATGAGCATAAGAAAAGGCATGTTCATATTTTAAAAGTATTTTCAGTGTATTGCACACCCTCAGGCAAATATTGAGCGATACATATAAGGTACTCTTAAATAAAAAAAAAAATTTTAAAAAATATACTTATACCAGCATTTATTTATTTTCTGTTGTATTGTGATAACAAATTTACGAGATTCTGTTAATTAATGGATGTTTCATTGTAGAACTTCATCACTACGGTTTAACATGATATCAAGGAAAGGTATGTGTTGTTCGCTTTTGTTTCATAAGTAAATTCAATTATAAATTCGAAATTGTTTTGTTTATTTAAAAGAAGAGAATTTATTGCTGGATGCATTTTAAAAAAGCATGATTCGATAAAATGCATCGGGTCGTTTGCTCTGGTAAAATAATTAAAGGAAGCAGACTGATGCTGCTTGGCGCAGATTGACCTTGCTTATAACGTTCTTGCTCATTCTGTTGTTTGTAGCAGTGCTTGGAAGGAAAGTGTGTAGAGTGTGGCTGTCTCACTACACCACAGGGATTCTATACGTGAGCATAGCTTGGGCAGCAGTTTTTGTCTAAGAAAAACATTCCCCAGGACCGACAACCACCATATACCCTGATAAATTTGTTCTTTTCGTACTTTAAATAAGAAAAAAAAATTATATATAGTAAAAGAAGTGTGATACAAATTTTTTCTTATAAATTTTATTATGACAAAAAGAAAATGGCGGAGTAGGTAATGGTTGCTCCAGTTAATGCTATGCGGTAACTACTTATTTAAGACGTTCCATACCGAGAAAGACAATATTCAGATCATTTTACGAATGGATCCATAATGCCCAGCTAACAATGCCATGGAGTTTTATTTTGAAAAGACTGACTTCAAAAAGTTCAGAGGTCATCCAAGAACTACCATAGTTAGAACGCTGAAATGAAACATTCAAAGAACAAGGCAGAAAGATCCCACTTATGTAATTATTTTGTACGTAATTTTTATTTATTTCATCATTTTGGTGGTGGTGGTGGGGGGAATAAATGTTTATGGATACGCATTTTACTAATTAACCCATAGCTGAGTGAAAAGAGGAAGGTTCACATCTGTTCGAAGAGTATTTGCGCGTAAGTGAATAAATGAGCCTAACTGGAACTTGGCTCTCATATTATAAATTACACCCCCCGCACATCCAAGTGTACAGCGCCTTGTTTTCCCTAGCGGTCACCCATCTAGGTACTGACAAAGCTCGACGTTGCTTAACTTCAGTGATCGTACGGGATGTGATGTAGCAATGTGATGTAGCCGTGAGGCCCGCATTTCAGTAGTATGTAATAAGGTTTGAGTTATGGAATTTGGGGTTAACAGAATTTTTTTTCCAATTTAGCCATAGGTTAAAAGGAAATGGAACTTTAAACAATTGAGAAGGATCACTTTCGTGTCACTAGTTGTTCAAACCCAAACGATCATCCCAGTATTCACACGCCAAAAGTCTCATTTACCCACCATAGAGAATCCTCCCTGCCTCCCATCAGAATGACTGATGCCCAATTCTACGAGAGCGTCTCTCTGCGCCGAGTCGGGGCCTCACGCTTTCCACTGACCTGAGGTGGAACGACTACATTGAATCAATAGCTTCATCTACCGCAGCGGAAGTTGGTTCTCTATGTCGCGCCAGAAGCTTTTTCAGTCCACCCTTCAAATCTACAAATCAACCTTTCGTCCTTCCATTGAATGCTGCTGCCATATATGGTCTGGTTCCCCTGTTGTTCATTTGGACGTCCTCGAAAAAATCCAAAGATGGATATACAATGTGATAGGTCCTGATCTGGCATCTCGTTTACAGCCACATTCTCACAGATATGCTCTGTCTTTTCTACAAATATTTTCATGGCAACTGCTCCGACGAGCTACTTACAATGGATGCCAAGCGTGCTACTAGGTTGGCATCTCGGCCCCACCCTTTCACTGTCGAAGCGGTTAAATATAGCCATCTTTTCTATTCCAACAGCTTCTTATTTCGCACTTCCCGTCTGGGGAACTCCCTTCCTCTTACTTGCTTCCCTGATGGTCATAATCTTCAGATATTCTAATGTAATGTCAATCGACATCTGATGCCTTGATCGTAATCCCCGCCCTTCTCTTTATCTTTTTCCTCAAACACTTCTCTTAAAATCTTGTTCTCATTCTCTGTAACCACTTGCGTGCTAGTGCCACTCTTGCCTTGCTTGGGGTGATATGTTTAAGAAAAAACGAAAAGAAAAAAAAAGAAAAAGAAAAAAGAAAAGAAAAAAGAGAAGGAAAAAAGACAGCGTCTTTATTTAATATTTTGACGTATTTTCCGATAAGTGAGGAAAATCATCAGCAACAGATTGATAAGAATTTCTATTTCAGAGTAAGCAGACCAATAAATGGCAAATGTCAGGACAGTTTAAAGAAACGTGAACACGCAATAAAAGATATAAATAAACAAAATAACAAAAAAAAAAAAAAAAAAAAAAAATCAATATAGAATCAAGTTATGATAGCTTGTAAGACTACGAAACAAACTTAGGTTCTTTTAAGAAATATTTTTATATGGCGATCGTGACACCTACAGATTGTTACAAGCTGTCGAAAGACATTAAACATGACTCAATTACTTTGAAACGTCAGTAATTTAAAAAAATGAAAGATAAAAAAATGAATTAAATATATATATATATATATATATATATATGTGTGTGTGTGTGTGTGTGTGTGTGTGTGTCTTACAGACATGTTAGCAAGCAGCAAACACACACGCACATACATCAAATTATATCTCTACACAGTGGAGTGTAACGAAAGATGACTTTTATTACGTCGTAGAACTAAAAATGAAGCTAAAATACATGGCGCGATGGATAAATTGTCGTCTAAATGACGCGAAAATGAAAATAACCCCAACATCTCATTTTAAAAGATATATTTACTAAACTTAGACAAAAAAATAATTTGAAATACTAAATTAGTGAATGTATTCAATAAAAACCGCCAATTGGTTTCAACCGCGCCCTCTCCAGACGAATTCGAATCTCCTGTAACTCGTCTGGATAGTCCCCTTGTTTAAGTTGTTGAATTCTACCGTAATCCTTGCTTTTAGTTCATCTTTGGTATAACAAGGAATTTTGTTGGTCACTCGCTCTACTGCGCCCTACACATAATGATCAGGGAGTTGCAGTTAGGTGGTCAGATGCAAAGGGTGATGTGGTAGCAGAAATTGTCTGACATCCATGACCGAGTTCTCCTGCTTGTGTGACATGGTGCAGAGTCCTGTTGCCAGATATAGGGTTTCCAGCAGACTCCTTCTTGATCCAGGGCAGCACTAACTCCTCAAGGCACTCGATGTAGGCCTTCGTGTGAGGCCCAGTGTGAAGATGACTGGAGGCATAACGTCGTCATCGCTAGTGATCACTCCAAACACCTTCGTAATCACCATTAGACTCATCCAACTCTTTTCGAATCCTATGCGCTTTGTTTAGATAGACGTTCAAACACTCTTCAATGTACGCAGTACAGCTTCCGGTGCGAATGCCAAGCAGTACTGCATGCCGTTTCCAAATTTCTGGCGGAGTGAAATGCGTCATGGTTATTTTTTTTCTCGCAGACGGTGCCCAACAGACCCTACTATACTGTGCAGTCGACAAAAAAAAAAAACGCGGATGCACGGAATCGAAAAAATAAAATGGCGATATATATATATATATATATATATATAGATATAGATACACCTAGTGAGCCAGAGAAACCTACCGAGGTTTTCACTCGTCAGGGTAAGTGAGAGCCTGACTTTCCCTGACGATCCGTTTAGGTGAAACCTAGGTAGGTTTGTCTGACTCACTAGGTGTATCTAGGTCTGCTCTACAGTTGTATTGAGCGCTTTTGTTAGTTGTTTACTCGTCTCGGGGTTTTTTCTTTGGGCTTCAGACCTGCATCTGTGCGATTTTTTGTCGACAGAAGTTTATGTTTGTAACTGTTTCTTTTTTTAAAACCTTTTTTTCCCTCGAAATTGATTTGATTAGCAAATCAAAAATTCGAGGGTTTTTCGAAACGAGACTAGTTATCTATCTATATATATATATATATATATATATATATATATATAAGCTTAACGGTCAGCGAAATTTTTTCGCTCATGATATTTTTGTCTTTTATTTCTATATTTAGGACCATTTTCTAGTAAGAATTTTTATATGTGTTGTTTCTCTTTAGTACCAGGGCGGTCACGGCTCTCCACAATATCCTGTTCGTCGTAGTCCTTAGCAATTTTTTTTTCTTTTTATTATCTTTCCCACTCCCTATTCCGTCGTCCATTTACCACAGCTCGAGCTCATTTCGATGTGGTGAAATGGTTAGCAAGCTTGTCTCGCTAGATGAATTACGACTGAGTAGCAAGTTCGATCCTCGCCAGGTGCTCCTTGTGACATATCTAAGCTACGCTTAGAAAGTCACCATTTACACAGGCTCGTTAGGTAGGTTACTGTCTTCTTGTCTATATAATATTGTGAGTGTCAAGATCTCTGAACTCTCTTTCCTCATGATGTGTCCTTGAGATTCCAAGTGGAGTGGGGTCGGTGTAAAACCGACGCCAGCGTGATTCCGGGGACACGGTAACTTTGTTCCTTGGCCCATATGCATATACGTTTCAGCATCTCACATAAAGAGAATCTTGAGTTACATTCTGCATTAGAGGGGGTGGGGTCAGGTAAATGTCTCGATAATAATTAAGAAATTAAATTATATTAACCATTTTTCATTTTAAAATAAAATACAAAATTATCAACATCGTTATGATCCCGGCATAATAACCAAATCTTTAAACCATCTGAATAATGAATAATCATCAATATTATTGGTCCTGACCTGGCATCTCAGCTCCAGCCAGTTTCTCACCGCCATAGCATAGCTTCCCCGTTCCCTTTCTATAAATACTTTCATGTTCTGATAAATTTCTTCTATGGTACACAGACTTCATGACATTAAGCGCCGTACTAGATTGGCGAATAGGTCTCACCATTTTACAGTTGAAATGTTCAGATTAAAGCATAAGTTTTATGCTAAGAGTTTCTTCTTTCGCACTTCTCTCTTGTGGAATTCTCTTTCGGCAACTTGCTTCCTAATCAAATTTGATCTTCAAATTGGAGAAAAATAAACTCAAGGCTATTTCAACAGAAACCCGAGGAGGTTCATCAGTACAAATAGACTGACACAAATACGGGAACATCTGGGGCTGTTCAGAATCCAAATGCATTTCTTAACTCTTTTCAGCTGCCTGGTGATCCTCCTCTCAGGCTTCAACTAAAAACGTTTGATTCCCATTGGGCTTTTCTGAAATATTATTGATTCAAAGTTTTCAATGGAACTCTCCTAAGAAACAGTCTCTCCACATGTCTTCAAGAGAACTATCCTAATGGGGAGGCAGCAAAAAAGGATAATGTGTTCGTTCTGATGATCTTCATAAGTCCAGAAGACATAACTTTTGAATACAAGAAACTACAGTGAGGAAAATTTTTGCTATAAAAATCAACCAGGTACAAGGACAGTGTCTGAAGAAGGTTAGACATTTTTCATGCATCTTCCAGAGCTAATTGTTTCTTCGTTCTTTCAGAATTCGATCTGGAATCAATATTTTTATCCAAATTCAAATCCTCCCTGGTTGACCTGCCTTCAATGGTATAGCTGTAATCACCACGCTTGGGAAATTGCCGGTTTGGTGAGGCTATTTAACAGAGTAGGTTTTTGAATTCAGAGTTATCCTTCTCCTAGACCAGTTGCCACCACAAGGCTATTTGCTGGGGAAAAGAGGAGGTGAATTCATAGTTTGTTTTTTTCCCCCAAGGGTATTTGTACATAAGGGGATGTAACAAACTCGACTGGAATTCGAACACTGCTCTCCGATTCCTCAATCCAAATCGCTATCCATCACTCTACATTGCAAAAACCTAATTGTCTATTAACAGTAGACCTTTTAACCTAAATAACTGCATCATTAATTTCTCAGAAAACCAGATTATGTTTTCAGCAACAGATAATTTTCTGTGTGTCAATAACGCTAGAACGGTTATTACTTGTTTTGTCATGTTTTAGTTTTCCTCGGACAACGCCGGGCATCGTGTTTATTCTGTTTTCGAGATAAAACCTTTTCTGCCAACAAGTAAAATGATTTAATAGGTGTCTGGCCATCTCAGTTGTTCAGAAAACATTGTTACCCTCTTCCTGCCGATCAGCATTAAACGAGGAGGATTTATTTTGGTACTTATTTTTTTATGTGCAAGT